CTTTAATCCCAGCACTCGGGAGGCTGGGAGGCCAGCCTGGTCTACAGAGTGAGTTCCAGGACAGCCAGGGCTACACAGAAAAACCTTGTCTGGAAAAACAAAAAAGCAAGCAAACAAACAAATAGAAACAGAGTTTAAGAGAAAATCAATAGGGCAAGAAAAGTGCAGATCATGCAGCTGGGAGGGGATGACAGTGCCCTTCGTGCGCAGCCACAAGGGGAGAAGAGAAGTGGAATTCAGAGAATGAGAAAGCCCTGAGCACCAGGGAGGCAGGTGAGGCTTTGGAAAAAGATAGAAGAATGCTGAAAAGTCACAGTTTTCTGAGAATAATTCAGGGGAGCGGGCAGGCTTCGCTGAGCTATATGGCAAGGCTCAGTAAGCCACTGAAGTAGTGTTTCATTTTGGAATAAATATCTTCAATTAAAGGAGCAGACTAACTATCAGCACTAAAATCTACCATCTGGGGGCTGGAGAGAGGGCTCCGAAGTTAAGGGTGCTGGTTGCTCCTGCAGAGGACCCATCTGGGGGTTTACAACCATCTGGAACTCCAGTTCTAGGGGGAACTGATACCCTCCCTCTTCTGACCTCCGTGGGTACAGCACACACAGTACACATGTGGGCAACACTCCTACACATGAATTAAATAAATCTAAAACCAAAAAAAAAAAAAAAATCTGTCCTCTCTCCAGGTGGTTGTGACTTTACAAATCACACCTATTTTATATGCCTGTATACCTAGAGTTGCATAACAGTTTCCCAGATGAAAGGAGTCGTGAGGGGAAAAAATGCCAGAAGTTCTGGCCTAGAACATCCTTTGGGTGCCTGTCATCAACCACAGCCAGTTTGCTTTAAGAAAAGCAGGCTCCCACCACTGTGCCCGTTTAATGTGAATCAGTCTTTATTCTGCACGTGTGTGACGGCGCATTAACAAGTTCAACAGACAAGTTAGCATTACATATTGCAGGTGAGCGTCACAGCATTATGCAACTTCACACAGTTCATGTTAGCTTTTTCCATTTTTTTTTCTTTTTAATTTGACACTTTTATTTTGAGTCTTATTTTTACAAGAGAAGACACAAGGTAAAGAAAGACGACCTGTGTGGGGAGGGATCGTGGTGAGGGTGATGCCACCGTCATGACCAATGCTGAAAGTCTTCCAGATCCCTCGCCTACGTCGTCGGTCACCCTGGTCCCACATAGCCGGTCTCTGCTCTCTAGCACAGCTCTGTTCCCAAACACACACCTCGTGGCTGTGCTCTGCTGAGAACGCAAAGAAGAAGAACTCACAAGGGACCTTTAGATGTCGTGAATAGCTCTCAGAGTCCCAGAGTCAAGAAATCTACAGAGGACTGGCTGCTGGGAAATCGGGAGTGACCTTTCCCTAACCAATTCCTAACCACAAGTGCCCTGTGCAAAACCTAGGGTGTGACTCTCTTGTCTTTCCACCGACAGGAAGAGGCATTTTGCCTCCACCCACATCAGCGAGCTCTGCAAAGAACAGATGTGAAAGCCAGTCAGCTAAGAAGCGATAGGACACGCTGGATCAGGCCTGAGGTAGGAGGAGGCATCCTGCGCTGTCTTTTTCTGGCAGCCCCGAGCCTGTGGAAGTACCGGCTCCCCCCCCACCACCCCACTGCTCAGTAGACCCAGAGGATGCAAGGGGTTGAGTTGCATGGAGATGGGGAGGGGGGAGGGGGGGAGGCTGTGTCCCCGACTTCTCAGGAGGAGCGACAGAGGCACAGACAGCAGGGCAGAGACCAGACTCCACCTGTCACCTTAGCGTTGCTTCCGGGAAGGAAGCAAAGCTGCCCGGTGACTTCTGATCTTTACACATTAAGGCGACGAAGAGGAACCATTTCAATTTTTTTTTTTTTTTTTCCCTAATGGGGCTTAAGAATGCTCCTGCCAGGTTTTCATTAAACTATGTCAAAATGCCTTTTTAGAAAACAAAAAGTATTTTCTTCTACGTATGATACAATATTTACATTCCATGGGTTAAAGGACGGAGACTAGTGGTGTGATCCCAGCTGATGGCGAAACAGGAAGTCAGATCATGGGCTATAAAGGCTGGCAAGGCAAGAGCAGAGTGGGTTTCCCTGCCTCTCCAGGGCTGCTCTGCATTGCCAAGAATTCCGCAGGAAAAACAAAACCAACAACAACAAAAAAAAACCCCAAAAGGATGGGTGCGGGGGCAGAGTGGATTAAAACCTACAAGCACTAAGGGAACACCCAAGGCAGTGTCGACACCCTCTCCATGGAAACTCAGCTTGTCCACCCCTTCTCAGCTGGAAAGGGATGTTCTTGTAGGGGAGTGGGCACTTCAGTTACAGATCATCTGTCAGGCCCTGGATCGAGCTACTTCTTATTTGACTGAGGTCCTCTTCAGGCTGTTAAAAATAGGCACTGCCCACCAAGCTCTCCTCCCATTCCTGAAGTCTCCATGAGGAGACCTGGATCTGAGCTCCACACTGTCCTGGTGAGACTCAGTGGTCCAGCCTTGCACTCGCTGCTGAGGAGGGTGAGGCTCTGAAGGCATCCGCATTATCTCACTATTCGGCCCCACTCAGCTTTCTAAAGAGTCGTCCCTGTAAGCCTCAGGGGGAGTCATTTCCGAGGCCTGTTTCCTTATGAAACAAAGCAACTTCCATCAGCATCTACATCCTGAGGAGACGCCAGAGCCTCTGGGTGGATATCTGACCTCCTCCCCTTGTCCCCTGTCCTGCAAGATCAGCCGGTGTTCATCGAGACTTCCCTCTGGTTGAAGCTGAGCTCTCCCAGTTTCCAGAGAAAGAAAGTCAGCGAGTCCTAAGTGGGGTTCCGCCTCCCGGGCCTGCCCTGCTCACCAGAGCTATCACTAGGGCCGCCTGCCCGCCGCTCCTTCGCGGCAGCCGCCCGAGAGCAGACACCCCATTCTCAGTGACCCTTTCCCCTGCAAACCCCACTTTGCTTACTACAGACCTCTGGACTCGGAACTCGGCCAAAGAGCAGAGACCTGAGAGGGGATAGAAAAAAGGATGGCGTGACGGGGACACGGGGTTTTACAAGCGCAGACGTTTCTTCTGCAATCTGCAATGATGGGGAACTGGAATCACCCAGAGAAGCCCGATAAAAAGAGGCCAATTTCAGGGGATCAGCAAATACAGTTCGGCACAAAACACAATTTTCATGGATTAAAATCTGCAACTTGACATCGGTTAGGCTAATTTCTTGTTTGTATTAGACATGCAAGTATAAGGTTACACTGTTATATATAGACTGTGGGGTCTTTCCTTCTCTCTCTCCTCTCATTTTAAAAACAGAAGATCGTCTAGTGCCTTGCAAAGAAGAAAACAGTCCTCACGCTAAGAACTGATCTGCAGCTGTGTGGAGTAGGATGTTCTTTGTGTGGTTTGTTTTGTAAGAAATTTTTCTTCTACGACTAAAATGAGGTTTTGAGTCAGCTTCTCTGTCTTTTCTCTCCCCGCCGCGCGCGCCTCCCCAGCCTGGCCCCAGGGTCGGAGGCGAGAAAGGATTAGTACTCGCTCAGACTGTGCCACTTGGCTACGGGCTTTCGGGGACTCTCGCAGACCTCCCTCCAGTGTTCCGCACCACTGGCTGTGACACTGTGCGCCCCCAGGATCAGCCTCCCCACCACCTCATTCTTAGTAGTGCGATCGAAGTCAATGACAAGGAACTCAATGCTGATGTCAGGCAGGAGGTCGGCGGGGATGTCATAGATGAAGGACTCATTGAAGACTGGATTCAAAGTGCACTTCTTGACGTGGGTTTTCTTCTTGGCGATGCGCTTTCTGCCGTAGTAGACGTTCACCTTGACATAAGGATCTGAGGCCCCCAAAGAGAAGAAAAAGAGAGACAGGCCTATGACACAGTCCTCTGCTATGTGTGGTGGGTTTGTGTTTAGGACCTAAACAGCAGTTCTCAAACTGTGGGTCTCGACCTCTTTGGTGTCCCCTATCAGATATTTACATAACGATTCATAACAGTAGCACAGTTACAGTTATGAAGTAGCAACAGAGAAATTTTATGGCTGGGGGTCACCGTAACATGAGGAACTGCACTGAAGGGTCGCAGCGTTAGGCAGGCAGAGAAGCACTGGTGTAGATGGAGGAGACTCTGTTATCCTCACCTGACCATCAGGTCTGCAGTGATCGCGCCACAAACGCACGCAGACCACACACCAGTCTAGCGGCCTCATGGGGGACTGGGGGACCCAGCAGGTCTGGAGTAGACCAAGTGCCAGTCTGAAGAAATTAGGAAGCGTTGTCAAGGGTGCGGGGACGAAGAGATACGGGCAGTCTTCCTTACAAATCTCACCTGGTCTAACTGCCCCGGCATGCACGGGATTTAGAGTACCCTTGTTGGCTCACCCCCAGCATCACTGTGGCTGGGGGATCTATGGGCCTGGTCACGGGGGAGCAAAAGCAGGCGGGAGACTAGGTGGGCTGTGAGCGAGGGCGGGGGTCTGGACACGGTGGGGTGTGTCGGGGCCACAGTCGGGTCGGGGCAGGGTTGTGCAGACAGACAGGTTGAAGTAAATAGCTGCTACCTGAGAGACCGGTGATGTCCATCTTGGGCAGGTGTCTGGCTTTGAGGACCACCACTGTCATCCTTTGTACCACGGGCTGGTATGACAGCGACACCTGGAGCTCCCCTCTGCTAATGCACTTCTGCAAGGGAGAGACCTGGGTGAGAATCCTGGCGGGGGAGGGGGGGGCAGACGGGACGGACGGGGGGGGGGGGACTACACAGATCTGCACAGGAGAGGGAAGAGCCTGAAGGTGGGCATGCTCAGGCCAGGTACGGAAGCACCGTGAAAGCCAGGCTGAGCTCTTACAGTTACACTGCTGATTTAATGCTGACCCTGACTGGACCTTCTCTCTTTCTTTTTTCTTTTCTTTTCTTTCTTTTCCTTCTTTTCCTTCTTTCTTTCTTTCTTTCTTTCTTTCTTTCTTTCTTTCTTTCTTTCTTTCTTTCTTTCTTTCTTTCTTTCTTTCTTTCCTTTTTCAAGACAGGGTTTCTCTGTGTAGCCCTGACTGTCCTGGATCTCACTCTGTAGACCAGGCTGGCCTCAAACTCACAGAGATCTCCTGCCTCTGCCTCCCGAGTGCTGGGATTACAGGTGTGCACCACTACTGCCCGGCTCTTTCCTTTCCTTTTTTTAAAATTATGTATACAGTGTTCTGCCTGCATGTCTGCCTGCACACCAGAAGAGGGCGGCCAGATCTCATTACAGATGGTTGTGAGCCACCATGTGGGTGCTGGGAATTGAACTCAGGACCTTTGGAAGAGCAGCCAGTGCTCTTGAGCTCTGAGCTATCTCACCAGCCCCCCTCTTTCTTCCTTTTGGTGGTCCTGTGAATTGAATTTAGGCCTCCTGCATACTAGGCTAGTATTCTACCTCCAGCTGGGCCCTTCAGTCTCAGCCCTGCAGAGGCAGGTGCATGAGTTTGAGGCCAGCCTCGCCAGGGCTGCATACTGAGATCCTGTCTCAAAAGGAAAGACAAGAAAAAAGAAGGTGTTAGTTAGGTGGTAGTGTCACACGCCTTAACCTCAGCACTCGGGAGGCAGAGGCAGGTGGATCTCTGAGTTCAAGGCCAGCCTGGTCTACAGAGCAAGTTTCAGAGCAGCCAGGGCTACACAGAGAAACCCTGTATTGAAAAAGAATGAAAGAAGAGAGAGAGAGAGAGAGAGACAGACAGACAGACAGACTGCTTCTCTACTGAGCTCCACCTAGGACACACACACTCACTCACTTTCATCTACTCTCTGCCCCTACAAGGAACTTAAACCAGACTGCTTCAAACTCATACTATATGGGATGGCTTGGGTTTACTGACCTCCTGCCTCCAGCTCCAGGGCGCTGGGTTAACCTCCACACTATTTCTTTGTTTTTTTTTTTTTTTTTGATTTTTTGATACAGGGTTTCTGTGTATAGCCCTGGGTAGCTTGAAATTCACTCTGTAGACCAGGCTGGCTTCGAACTCACAGAGATCTGCCTGCTTCTACCTCCTAAGTACTGGGATTAAAGGTATGCAACCACCTCTCAGCCAAGCTATTTTTTCAATGTTTTGTCACTACTTACTAACCGTTCCTGTACTTCCTCTTCTTCATCGGTGAAATAGAAACCTCTAGTCTCAGAGTCTGAGATAACACCGACATCAGAAGATTATTAGAAGGGCTGAGTGAGTGCTGTAAGCCACACGCAGCTGTGCCTGGTCTGTAGTAATCTCGTTTGGTTCTTATATTTGGGGTGGGCACTTCTGAAGAGGGGACTCGGTGGCTAAGGGCACTTGCTCTCCTTCCAAAGGAAGCTCACAACCACCTGTGACTCCAGCTCCAAGGGGTCCAGCACCCACCACTGGACTTCATGCACACTTGCATATACATACTCCCACAGACACATCCACATACACATAAATTAAAAACAAACTGGGGACCAGGAGGATCCCCACACAGTAAAGGGGTTGCTTTTGAAGGCAGGAGGAACTGAATGGGGATTCCTCAGCACCAGTGTGAAAAATGAAACAACAATCCAAAATGCCGTCCATGGGGCATGTGCCATTAATCCCAGTGCTGCGAGGTAGAGACAGGCAGATCCCTAGAGCTCACTGCCCAGCCAGCCTCGCTGAGTCCTGAATCCCCAGTTCCAGATTCAGGGAGGAAACCTACTTCAAAACACGAAGAGGACACTGGGTGGTGGTGGCATACGCCTTTAATCCCAGCACTTAGGAGGCAGAGGCAAGGGGATCTCAATGGCCAGCATGGTCTACAGAGTGAGTTCCAGGACAGCCAGGACTATGTAAAGAGACCCTGTCTCAAAAAGAAAATAAAACAAGGACCCCACAAAGTGTGGGTGGTGGGGTTCTCAGCAAGCACAGCTAGCTGCCTGCCACCATATTCGAACCCTAGAAACTATAAAGAGAGAAAACTGATTCCTGAAAGTTATCTTCTGACTCCCATATGTGCACATAGTCAAGGAAGATATTCATGTCAGCCACTGGCCTCCACACCCAGACTTGAACTGGGCATGGTGTACACCTGTAATCCCAGTACTTGAGAAGAGTCAGGAAGGTCAGGAGTTCAAGGCCAGCTTCAACTACATAGTCATAGTCATAGTCATAGTCATTTCAAGCCCCAGGCTGCATAGACCTTGTCTCAAAATGTTTTTTTCTTGAGTTGTAACCAGCTGTGGTGAGGCACAGCTTTAATCTCAGTACTCAGAAGGCAGAGGCTGGTGGATCTTTGTGAGTTTGAGGCCAGCCTGGTCTATATAGCAGAAAGGAATACATAGTGAGACATTGTCTCAAAAAATTATTCTCTCTTTGAAAACTAAGGCTGAAATTGTTGTGTAGTGGTAGTGCTTGCCCTTAGCATGTAGGAGGCCCTAGATTTAATCCTTAGAAACACAGAACAAAAAATGACCTAGGGCATGATGGGGAGGTAGAGGCAGGAGGATTTTGACTTTGGGCCAGTCTAGGTTATATAGTGAATTTCAAACCATCCTGAGACCCACAATGAGACCATTTCAAAACACCTACGACAGGGCTGGGGAGAAAACTCAGTGTGTCATTGCTTGCCGCACAGGCCCAAGGCCCAGCGTTTGGCTCCCCAGAAGGCACAGATAGACAAGGAGGGTGGGTGTGGGACCGGCCTGTGAGCCCAGCACACGCGTGGGATACCTGGAGCAAGCTGGCTAGCCAGGCCGTCTGATGACGTCTGCGGGCTGAGCTCCAGGTTCAGTGAGAGACCCAGCCTTGGTAGATTGGGTGGAGACTATGAGAGGAAGCCACTTGACCTCAAGCCTGGGCTCCACATGTCTGTGCACCCCCCTGTACACGTGTATGTGCACACACACACACACACACACACACACACACACACACTATAGAATGTTTTGGAAACTGTATGGTGGAGATGGGTGTGAGTCCTCTGCTTCACTACATGACATTGAACAAGTCCTTGAACTTTCTGGAGCCTGTTCGACTGTTTCACAAGGTGCTTACCCGTTCTCCCTGACTGTGCGTGCCTCAGTTTCTCCCTTTCTCAGTTGATTTCCTCACTGCTCTCCTCATCTTGGTTACTCCATCTTTAAAATTTGCCCTAGACCCTACTTTAGACTTGAAAAACACAAGTCTGCTGCGTAGCCCCGGCTGGCCTCATACCGGTCCTGCTTCGGCTTCTCGTTGCTGGGGTTTGAGAATCGCCGGGCCCTACTCAGTCTGAAGAACATTTGTTTGTTTGTTTTCAGACTGCACAGCGCTGGTTGGCCTAGAGCTCACTGTGGAGACAAAGCTGGCCTCAAACCCACTGGCTCCTCCTGCTTCTGCCTCCCAAGCGCCGAGCTGAGAGGAGTGTAACAAATCGACCCCTTTAAGAGCTAATAAGCGGGTTGGAGAGATGGCTCAGGGGTTAAGAGCACTGACTCTTCTTCCAGAGGACCCAGGTTCAATTCCCAGCACCCACATGGCAGCTCACAACTGCCTGTAACTCCAGTTTCAGGGGACCCCGACACCCAATACAAAAATACAAATGTACATAAAAATAAAATTAAATAAAAAAAAAAGAGAGAGCTAATAAGCACCAGACATACTACATGTCAGATGCTGGGGTCCAGGGACTAGAGGAGTAGGCATTTGTTTTCAAGGCCAGGCACTCCTCACGTACTGAAGAGACAGAGCCCGGCACTCAGGAAGATGAGGCAGGAAGACCAGCCTGGGCTACTAGAGCTAGACCCTATTTTATTTTTTAAATTATTTTATTATTATTTTATGTGTATGGGTGCTTTGCCTGCATGTATGTCTGTGCACCAAGTCTATGTAGTGTTTTCAGAGGTCAGGCAGAAGAGGGCACTGGATCCCCTGCAACTGGAGTTAGAGGTGGTAGTGAGCTACTATATGGGTTTTGAGAATCGAACCTGGGTCCTCTGCAAAAACAAGGTGCTAACTGCTGAGCCATCTCGCCAGCCCTGAAACCCTTCCCTGTTGTAGAAGATTGTTCTTCCAGCTGTGGTGGCCTTTAATTCCAGTACTTGAGAGGCAGAGGAAGAGGCAGAGGAAGAGGCAGAGGAAGAGGCAGAGGAAGAGGCAGAGGAAGGCAGCTCTCTGTGAGTTCCAGGCCAGCCAGGACGATGTAGAGACCTTGTCTCAAAAAAATAAAATAAAATAAAATAAAAAGGTTTTCCTTCTGCTTTCTGGCCCGTCTCTATTTTTTCTGTCCTTCTGGGGTTTTATTTTTTGTCTTGTGAAATGGGGCCTCACTCTGTAGCTACCCTGAGGTAGCCTTGAAAACTTTTGTTGTTTTTTGTTTTTTTTTTTTCGAGACAGGGTTTCTCTGTGTAGCTTTGCGCCTTTCCTGGAACTCACTCTGTAGACCAGGCTGGCCTTGAACTCACAGAGCTCTGCCTGGCTCTGCTTCCTGAGTGCTGGGATTAAAGGCTTGTGCCACCACCGCCCGGCGAAAACTTTTTTTGTTTCATTTTGTTTTTGTTTTTTTGAGACAGGATCTCACTATCATGGCTGTCCTAGGACTCATTATGTAGACCAGGCTAGCATCAAACTCACTGAGCTCCTCATGAGTCTATCTCACAAGTGCTAAGATTAAAGGCTTGTTCCACCACACCTGGCCGAAAACTTGTTTTATTTGTATGCTTATCTGGTGACCTAAGTTT